AGTTCACAGAGCTACACGCTAAAGTAGTGTTTTGTAGTGCGTCTCTGCACGCTACACAGGGTTGCAGTGGCGCACTACACAACACTACATGATACAGTAACACACTACACAACAATACAGTAACACACTACACAACACTACAGTAACACACTATATAACACTACAGTAACATACTACACAATACTACAACAATACAGTACCACAACACTACAACAACACACTACACAAGACTCTACACTAACACACTACACAACACAACAGCAACACTCTACACAACACTACAGGAAACTACACTACACACACTACAGTACCACACTACACAACACTACAGTAACACACTAAACAACACTACATAACAGAGTACACAATACTACAGCAATACACTACCACAACACTACAGTAACACACTACACAACACTACAGTAACACACTACACAAAACTGCAGTAAAATACTACAAACACTACAGCAATACACTACACACACTACAGTAACACACTACACAACACTACAGCAACACACTGCAGCAACATACTACCAAACACTACAGTAACATACTGCTAAACACCAATAGCAACACAATACACAACACTAATGCCAACACACTACGCAATACTACTTAACACTAATACCAACACACTACACAGCAGTACAGTAACACACTACACAGCAGTACAGTAACACACTACACAGCAGTACAGTAACACACTACACAGCAGTACAGTAACACACTACACAGCAGTACAGTAACACACTACACAGCAGTACAGTAACACACTACACAGCAGTACAGTAACACACTACACAGCAGTACAGTAACACACTACACAGCAGTACAGTAACACACTACACAGAGTACAGTAACACACTACACAGCAGTACAGTAACACACTCCAAACCACTGCAGTAATACACAGTTCAATATTAATAACAACAAACTACACAACACAAATAACGATACACAACTCAACACTAACAGCAACACGCTACGCAACACTAACAGCAACACACTACATAATACGACAGTATCACGCTACACAAGACTAATACCAAAACAACAGTAACACCCTACACGACACTACAGCAACACACTACAGTGACACACTACACAACACTACAGTAACACACTACACAACACTACAACAACACACTCTACAACACTACAGCAACGCACTACAGCAACACACTACACAACACTACAGTAATACGCTACACAACACTACAGCAACAGACGACACAACACTACAGTAACACGCTACACAACACTACAGTAACATGTTACACAACACTACAGCAACACAGTACACAACACTACAGTAACACACTACAGCAACACACTAAAATAACACACTACACAACACTACAACAACAATAACATGCTACACAACACTATAACAACACACTACACAAAACTACAGTAACACGCTAAACAACCCTACAGCAACACACTGCACAATACTACAGCAACACACAACACAATACTACAGCAACACACTACACAATACTACAGCAACACACTACACAATACTACAATGACACACTACACAACACTACAGCAACACACTACACAATACTACAGTAGCACACTACACAACACTACAGCAACACACTACACAATACTACAGCAACACACTACACAATACTACAATAACACACTACACAACACTACAATGACACACTACACAACACTACAGTAACACACTACCCAACGCGACAACACACTACACAACACTAAAGTGACACTACACAATACTACAGCAACACACTACACAAAACTACAATAACACACTACACAACACTACAATGACACACTACACAACACTACAGTAACACACTACCCAACGCGACAACACACTACACAACACTAAAGTGACACTACACAATACTACAACAACACACTACACAATGCTACAACAACACACTACACAATGCTACAACACACTACACAACGCTACAACAACACACTACACAACGCTACAACAACACACTACACAATGCTACAACACACTACACAACGCTACAACAACACACTACACAACGCTACAACACACTACACAACGCTACAACAACACTATACAACGCTACAACAACACACTACACAACCTACAACACACTATACAACGCTACAACAACACACTATATAACGCTACAACAACACACTACACAACGCTACAACAACACACTATACAACGCTACAACAACACACTATACAACGCTACAACAACACACTATACAACGCTACAACAACACACTACTCAACGCTACAACAACACACTACACAACGCTACAACAACACACTACACCAACGCTACAACAACACACTACACAACGCTACAACAACACACCACACAACGCTACAACAACACACTATACAACGCTACAACAACACACTACACAACGCTACAACAACACACTACACAACGCTACAACAACACACTATACAACGCTACAACAACACACTATACAACGCTACAACAACACACTACACAACGCTACAGCAA